GGGACCATGGATGTCTGAACAAACATTTATTGCCAATCAATTTAATGGGTGTTGAGACATTTCATTTCAGACCAAGATGTGGATCGAACAGTGTCTTCCTGCAGCAGAAAAAATACATAAAATAAAGTTTTAATTAATTAGCTCCTTTAAAAAAGTTTCAGAATATCAATCACGGTTTGTTTATTTGTTTGGTTTTGCAGACGGGCTGACTGTAGCTGCTGCCTGTTTACTGAGAGACACACACACACACACAGTATCCTCAGTGACAGTACCAGTAAAGCGTACCATTAATCATCCCTCGTACTGGTTTCACTCTCCCTGCCAGCTCCTGTTAGCCGTCGCTGTGTGTCTGCAGACTGAAGGTTGGTGCTGATGAAACAGTCTGACTGGCCTGATGCAGGGAACTGGATCTGTTTCATCATGGGCAACACAGGTAAGTTATTAAGCCGTGCCTCAGCCCCTTGGTGCAGACCGGGCCTGGTTGACATCATTTTGATATCTACTTGGGGAGCCCTCTGATTGGGTGGCGGTCCCGTGGAGAGGGTTCTCATTACAGGCTGTTGTTTTGATATCTCCCTCCTCCAGACCTGCGCTCAGCACTTTCCGCTCACTTAATTGACAACGGCAGCTTGCAGAGAAATGATGCCGAGACCTGCTCAGCCTGTTAACAAATAACTCTGCTGCTTGCTGTACATTTACTGATGATACTGGAGGAGTGTCGCGTCTGCTTAGTCGGTGAATGTTAAAGTACAGTTTAAATCCATAGAGCACATGCCAGAAATACAGAGCAACAGCTACAGTCACATGGCTCTGAATGGATGTGTAAAAGAGATGGAATAAAATCAGAAGCAACATTAGAGTGTGTCGAGGTTTATACAGCAAACACAAAAACCTTCAGCAACTAGTGATCACCAACTAGTGAGCGAACTAGGGCTGACATCTGCTGGTCTAGAGGTCGAAGAATAGACCTCTAGGAATAACATTAATTATGTATGAAATTAATATTTAAATATATTTTACTCAACATATGTGGTTCTGTTTTAATAATTATATGGTTTGATGAGAACAGATGATAAGACCTATGAGTCAGGAAGTCAAAGCGCCACCGTTTTTACTAACTTCAACTGGCAACCTGGATGCTGCCACAGTGTCAAATATCGGCCCCAGGTTCAGAGGACAGAGCGGAGTGGATAGAGTTTATTTGTGATGGCATCGTGTGTGTGTGTGTGTGT